GAAGTAAATTATTTAAGAGGAGTAGTGAATTTTTTTAATTAATAAATTGACTTAGCATTATAATAAGGTTACGATAATTGAGACTGACACATAGTAAATATAGCCATACAACAATAGAGGTCAATATTAAGATTAAATTAATTAGTATATATTTTTTTTATGATAGTATTACTGTTCAGGATCTTTCTTTGAAACTTTTACTATATTTTTTATAAATAAAAAAATTGATATCTTCAAATTGGATATAGTATATGAATATATAAATATGTTATTTTTAATTCAATAAATTCCTAATTTAGTTCCATTTATTATTAAAAATGTTATAAATTTCTTTGAATATTTCCTTATAAATTATCATTAAATAATTCATTTATAAGTAATTTGGATTAAACATAATTTTTTTTTTTGTGATTCCTAGTAATATTTCATTTTGAATATCACCCAATAATAAAATAATAGAATTTAATTGAAAAGAATATATATAATTACATTATCTTCTCCTTCTATCATATTGCAACATTTAATAATGACATCATAAATTCATAAATAATATATAAATTTTTTATACATATTTCTCATAGATTTCAATTAAAAGTCTATATAATAAATTAAAAAATCAGAACTTATTCAATATCCACAACAAAATGAGATATAATAGCATTCTCGTTTTATTAATATTCAAAACAATAATCTTTCCAAGTAATTTTTAAAATATTCTAGCCTAATGTTGTTAGACTAATTGTTAATAGTGCGTAATTTCTATTTGTTTGTAATGTAATCCAGGTTATTATTTGAGTGGTAGTCTTTGTTATTCATGCATTTAATCGTGCATTGTTTGTAGTTCATCAACTGTCTGCACATAATGCAATGATAATTATTGGTTAAATGGTAACTCTTGTAGTCCATGTACAAAACCATGTGCTAATTGTTTAACGAATGGAAATATTTGTAATACTTGTGTTGATACTATAAATTAAACACCCCCTCAATGTAATTGTAAGGATGGATACATAATGAATACTTTAACATATTTATGCGATTAATGTTAACATCCATGTGCTACATGTTAAATAACAATAAATCATTGTTTAACATGTATAGATAATATTAATTAAACTGTTGATGCATTAAATTAATGTAAATGCAATTCTGGTTTTTTGATGAATGGAGTAAATTGTGAAGCTTGTCTAAATCCTTGTCTATAATGTTTAGGAAGTGCAAATTATTGTACTGAATGTAAAGATGTAGAACATTATATATCTAATGGATAATGCATTTGTAATAGTGGTTATATTAATGATAATAACTATAATTGTATACCTTGTTAATATCCTTGTTCCACTTGTTCAATAAATGATAATCATTGTGATAGTTGCACAGATCCTAATCATTAAATTAATGCATTTTTTCAATGCATATGTAAGGAAACTTACTATTCAAATACTATTAATACATGTGCAATATGTATATAACCATGCGCCTAATGTGACATTAATGGATGTTTAACATGTATAGATTCTAATTAAATAATAAATTCTTCATAAAATTGTATTTGTAAATAGGGGTATTTTTAAGTAGGCTTTAATTGTTAATAATGTGTAATGCCATGTTAAACATGCGAATTAAATTAAGATCATTGTTTAACATGCATTGATATTAATTAGACTCAAATCAACAATTTATGTATATGTAATGATGGATATTTTGAAATAAATAATAATTGTTAAATATGTTAAATTCCATGTACGAAATGCAAAATATAAAATGATCACTGTCTTGAATGTTTAGATCCAAATCATGAATTAATTAGTAATAAATGTGTATGTAAATATGGATTTGGCACTTCAGGAGTTAATAATATCAATTGCTCACTCTGTTAATATCCTTGTCTTGATTGCTCAAGTAGTACTAACACTTGTCTCTCTTGTATAGATAATAATAGATTCAAACTTGAAAATAACAAATGTGTATGTAAGCAAGGTTATTTTGATATAGGAACTGATTGTTTAAAATGTTCATCATAATGTTCTACTTGTTCAGAATAATCTAGTAAATGCTTATCATGTTCTGACCCTAATCATGTATTATAATTAAATGATTGTTATTGTAAACCAGGTTATTATACAGATAGTTATAAGAATTGTTTACAATGCTAACTACCTTGTCTAACTTGTAATTAAGATTTTTGCACATCTTGTTAAGATGAATATTATCTTGTTGAAGGATAATGTATATGTAAAGAAGGATATTATTATGTTGATTTTCATTGTGAATAATGTAATTAGAATTGTAGTAAATGTAATTCACAATTTGAATGTACCGAATGTATAGATTAATATTATTTATAAAATACTTAATGTTTAAAATGTCAAATCCCATGTTTATAATGTGTTGATATTTAAACCTGTAAAACATGTTCTGATAATTATATTATTGATGATCAAGGGAAATGTATATAATGCATCTAAAATTGTGAATATTGTATTGATTCAATTAATTGTGTTAAGTGTTTTGATGAATTCTATTATCATGATTAGGCATGTATCCCTTGTTCTAATTAATGTTAGACATGCGAAAAAAATAGTAATTTTTGTACATCCTGTAAAGATTCAAAATAAATATTAAATAAAAAAACAGGTATTTGCTATTAAATTAATAATTATGGAGATTAATATGATTATGATAATTTAGAATAAATATTATTACTCCAAGATATCAGATGCAATTATAATTAATTATTAATAGGTTATGAATGTATTAATTAATGTGGAAATGGTATACTTAATGAATAATATGAATAATGTGATGATGGTAATCAACTTGGAGGAGATGGATGCTCATTCCTTTGTATTCAAGAGGATTCATATTTGTGCAAACACTATGTAAATTCTCCTAGCATATGTTCATTTATTTAACCTCCAGATTTTAGATTGAATCTTCTCTCAAATTAATAAAATCAAATTAAACTTATTGAATTAAGTTTTACATAAAAAGTTAAAATACCAACTGATTTAAATTTTGAAGAAATTGCAATAATTTCAATTATTCCATAAACTCGCATTAATATAAATATACTTAATATAACAAGTCTATCAACTGAATTTGAATATCCAAAATATTAAATTATCGTTGAATTTTTAGACTCTGTAGAAGATGCTTATCTATAAATAGAATTTGCTTAATCACTTATCAAAAATGAATTTGATTTAGATTTAATTACATATTAGATGTAATTAAAACTTGGAAATCCTTTTATACTTTCATAATAAAATTAACAAAAATTGACATAAATTGTCCTTCTCAACGATGCAATTATGTATTCAATGATTAGTATATCTGGATTAGCATTTCTGACTGGAAATGCTATCATGTTTTTTAATTTAATCGATCTTTTATAATCTTTATCCTATATAAGATATATGTAATATGATTTCCCACCTCATTTAATATAATTCTTGAACACATATTCTAAAATATCTTTAAAACCTCTTTTGGATCATTTAAAGATTGATGAATTATTTAAATATTTAAATGGAGGTACACTGCCTTTTCAAAATTCAAAGAAATCTAATTAGACTCAATTAAATCCATTAAATTAATTTTACCTATTGAATGCTAAAGGTTGTTATTTATCAATTTTAGTTTCATTATTGACATATTTAATTTGTACACTATTAACATCTTAAATAATATTATAAATTCAAATAAAATTATTTAAGAAAAATAAATAAAATGAAAAATACCTTCGTTTTATTCTATTTTTCCAAAAGAAAATACAAAATTTTTGTGCTAAATTTAAGAAAGAATATATATCTTTTGGTTTACCTAAAGTTTATTTTGCTATATTGCATCAATTATTTTTTAGTGCCTTGTTGTAATTTCCTAATTATAGTTTTAATTCTTTATTTATGACTTTTAATAGCATAAATGCAATATTTTGTTTAATTTTAATTTTATTAATCAGTTTATAATTACTGTCAATAACATAAATTAAAATAAAAGATAGACTAAAATGGAAATATTTTTATTAAGATTCTTAACCTTAATTTTGGGCTTTCAATTAAAAATCATTCTAGATTTACAGAATTATGGCTTATATATTTATGATAGTTGAGGCACTTAATTATCCAGAAATATAATCAATTTTACTCTCTATGTCCTCATTTTTCTATCTATTATACTTAATTAAATTTAGACCTCTAAAATCTAAATATGAAGAGGCTAAACTAATATCAAAAGAGTTTTTTTTTATACTCATTTCAGGGTCATTTTTGATTTATGGTTTTCAACTCAGTTTTAATTAACAATTATATTATGGATGGATTCATATTGCACTTTTTACTCTTATGCTTATCTCCAATTTGATCATTGATTTAATAGAATGCATAAATAAAACATTACAAAAACATAAAAGAAAGTAAGAAAAATTATAAAAAAAAGAAATTAATAATAAAATGAATCAACTTCAATAATTCATTATACTAGACACAAATTAGTAATACAATAGTTAAGGAGGTAAACTAAAAAATTGAAATAATTATTATAAATTTATATAAAGATATGTATATTTATGAATCTTGTTTTATCATAATCAACTGAATCAAATTCAAGTAAATATTCACTCTAAATTAATTTTTGTTGTTTATAATTAGTTTCATTTCTAGGTGTTATAATTAACCCTAGAATTTTATCTTAAAATTGCTAAATTAATTAATTATCATTTTAGCAATTTATCAAATAAGAAGATTATTATTTTATTTTCTAAAAACAAAATTACTAATTTATAAAACAATTAATAAAATTTAAATTTAAACTTTTTTTTTTAATATCTATCCTTAATTTTAAATTACTACCTAACATGTTTATAAAGGAATCACATACTAAACTTAAGCAAATTATTTAATTCCAAAATTTACTAGTATTCTAGATCTAGACAAAAATAGAGTGTTTAGGCTAAGAATTTATTTCAAAAAACTTAATCTTTTTTTGCATTCTTATAATTTCTTAAATTTTTTTTATAAGTTGTAAATTATTTGTTTATCAAATCATCACTCTTAAACTCATTAAAATTTTTTTTGTTAATTATAAAATAATTAGATCATTTAGGGCAAAAAAATTTATATTTTTTTAATTTTTTACTCCTTTTTGTCTTACTTTTGGATTTATTTAAAGAAAAAAAAATTATAATTTATGTTTACTAAGATTTAGTTAAAGAAATGGATGCTTATAAATACATTTACTTTAAAATTCTAAAAATTATGATCTTTTAGAGTAAAATAGAAAAGTTATATATAGAGTAGAAAGAGGTAGATGAAGAAATGAAATATAAATTTATTGAATTTAAATTTAAGATAAAGATGATCTCTAAACTACCTAAAGTAATTATAAAATTGAACACTCATTTTCAAATTTGTTTTTATTTTTAATGGGTACTTAATATAATTTGGTAATTCAAATAAATAATGTTTAATTGATATTGAATTCTATTTAAAAAAATTATCAATTGACTTCTTAGAAATAATCAAATTTCAATTTCCATCATAATCACTACTTAAAATTATGAAATATTTAGAAATTATTATTTACTTTTAGTTTATTAAAAAAATACAGATCTAATCTGAATTGTAATTGTCAATCCATTATAAAATAAAAACAATAGAATACATTTTTTTTTTAATTTATTTAAAAAAATTTGATCAACATATTAAATTTTGCATAAATAGGTATATAATTAATCATATTAGAATTAATAGAATTTTTATAAATATTTTTCATAAAATTTTATTTTTTTAATATTAAATTAAGTAAAGTATCATTATCCTTCAAATGAGATCTAATTAATTATTAGTCATAGAATAGAAAATAATTATTTTTCAAAACAAAGCCCTCTTTTTTAGAATCAACTATTTAATTTATCATGTTTGAATAAATAATATCATGATTCAAATTTCAATTTATAAAATAAATAATTCACTTTTGGTTTTTTCAATTGATTTCTTATTTAAATATTAATTAAAACCTTAAAAAGCCAAACAAAAAATACTTAAGCAATTTATAATTTTGTACCAGAGATACTTATTATTAACTTTTTCATCTTGTTACTCTCGAAGAAATGTTGCCTGGTAAATTAATACATTATTTTGATTTGAAAATTTATAATGTTTCTAATCATATTAAATACAATTTCTGGAAAAGCTTTTAACTATCTGTTTTTCTTAATATTTAACTTAAATTTAAAAAGTAATATAGGCCATATATTTATTTAGAATTATTGTTTTATAACCAACCTTTTATATCTAAATCATAAAATGAGGAGGTAAAAGTTCTATTATTTTCTCTATTCTGTATCCTGTATATAGAATACCAAACCCACCTGCAATCTACATAAAATTGTATAAACTTGAAGTAAGTGGTTAATTTCCATTAATCATCCATCCTTCAGAATTACTTTAGCTATTCCAATATGATTCAACATTTATCCAAAAGTAGCATTATGATGTTTAATCTATTCAAAATACACAATCTTTAAGACATTTTAATATTTCTATTTTTACATCTTAAAATCCCCATGATTCCTAAAAGTATTTATTTTTTTATACATCTTTAACTATTTAATCCAAAGTTGAAGTCATTATGACAACTAAAGTTTAGGAATCGTGTTTTGATATAGTATTACTAATTGGAATATGATCTTCTCAAGAAATAGAAATCATCTCGCCACAAATTTATTTTCCATCAGTTAAAAAAATTCTCTTTAATTAATTTCACTATCAAATACTATTTTCAAAATCTCACCTTCCCAACTATCAACCCTAAATATCAATAAATATAATACTTCCATAAATCAAATGATATTCTTAATGAATAATGAGGTGGAAGTGTAAATTTTGAAGAAATTAATGTACCCAATCATAAAATTGCAAATCTTCAAAATAACTTTGTATCCCCGCATTGGCTAAATGCTCCACCATTTATTTTTATAGAAAAACCAACCTAATTTTAAAATGTTAATAACCTGAATCATCCCAATATGAACCTGTAAATTAATTGAAAACAGTTATCCAATCTTCCTATGCTTAAGCAAAGAATATAATAAATAGTATTAAATGTTTTATAAATTTCATTAATTAATTACTTTCCATTAACAACAATTACAAATTGTAATATATAGCTTAATTAATATTAATTATTTCAATTAAAGTTGTGATACGGTAGTTGTCTGAATTTCTAATCAAAAAATTTGTTTCAAAGATCCTTGTCATATAAATACGATGTTATTCAAACATATTTTTCTAATTTTTCAATAATATTGAATAAGAAACATTAAAAATCAATTAAAAATAAAATTTTATTTTAAGATTCACTTGATCATATTGACTGCCTATCTATTTCTAGTTGAAAAGTATAAACAATATTAAAACAACTTTTGAATAAAATTTCTAATATGTTTTTTGAATTCCCTAAAAAAGGAAATTCTTAACCTAAAAGTAATTCCAAATAAATTCTCATTATTATTCAATATATAGAAAATTTTCAAGATGAAAGAGAAGATTCTTTATGGTTTAAGTGATTTTAGATGAATTTATTATAAAATGAAATTCATTATTAAGTCAAATATTAATTGTCTGAATACATTTATTTTATTATTGAAAATTATGAGATTAAAACAAATAATTCATTTTAAAAAATCACTATTTTCTAACATCTTATTATGTAGAAAATTTATAAATTTATGAATTATAAATTGTATATTATATTTATTATTAAATAAAATAATTAATTTAGCAGGTATCCAAAGATTTTATAAATTTTAAGATAATTTCTCTTAAATAATATTAAATGTTTAGTTTATTGTAAAAGCAAAAATAGTTATAGTTTAAATAATAAAATTATATGATTTAAGCATATTAAACCTACCTTATTAATTTTATTTTATTAAAGTTTTTCAATAAAAAAGAAATTTATAATATAAAATATAAATTCAAGTTAGAATTATGAGGATCAAAAACCATATTAATATTCAAATATAATGGTTTTTCATATACATATATAATGATAACAAGTATTTAAAATCAATTTTTTTATTACTTCATAAAAATATATATATTTATTACAAAAAAAAACTATTGATTATTTGGAAACAAAAAGATAACTTAACTAAATCATAAATAATTAAGTGTTATCATTCATGGCTATAACTTAATAATCTCTGAAAAAAAGTACAAGAAAATAATAATATAATATATAATCCTTGATTTTTTAAAGATTTTGAATTTAATTATTAGAAAATATGATAATTTTTGTTTTCATTTTCGTTATTAGGGCTTGCGAAGTCTTAAATGAGGATTATTATCTCTACCCTACAAAAGGAGAAATATTAGAAATACCTATGGAAAAGTTATTTTAAGGTAATAACTTAATTTATTAATGTTCTCAATGTCCATAAGATGTCAGAATTGTGAATGCTACGAATCATAAATAATCAATTGAAAATGGTAAGTTATAACTTTAAGCTAGATTATATATTTACATATGTAACATCTTCTTAAGATCAAATATTTACCTTGACTACAGAACCTTCTTTAAATATGTATTTGAAATTAAATGGAAGTCTAACCTTAAAAAAAGTAATTAAAATTGATTCAAACTTGTTATGCTTAAGTGTTACATATATAGGAGTAAATAATATAATTTTAGATTGTTATTAAAATGAAACACTAATTTTATATTCTTTAAAGAATGAAATGCTTATTTAAATTTACACTTCTAACAGTTCTATTCCAAATAATACTAAACTTAGTTCAATTATAAAAAACAAATCTGTATATTTTATATATGGGTAGTTTTACAGTACTTTAAATTAAATAATAATGAATTTGACCATATTTTAAGAATAATAGAACTATTTAATAAGTACATATAATTAATAAGAATTGGCATATAATTTTGTTGTTTCACAAAGGGAAAGTACAAATTAAACAATATTTATTTAATTATTAAATGAAATTAAAACATATGTGTTATCATAATAGGGAACTCTTTTGTATGTCACCAATATATTATAGAATCAAAAGATTTTGAATATGGCATACTATTATTCAGAAGTTGAATATTATCAATTTGATCAAATATTTTTAATAATTTTAGATGATGATTAAGATTATATGTATTTGATAGTTATCTTTTATAGTGATTCAGTGTATATATAGTTATTAGAGTCTTAATAATTTGTAAAGATAATAGATCAAAATGCTTAACTATTTATTAGTTAACAATTCTTAATCATTTAAGATAATCATAAAATTATTATTATGAATAATAAACGATTTAATCAAATTATAATTAGAAGCTTTGATTTATATCAAAGTAATTCTGTAGTCTACTTTGATCAATAAACTTAAAAATTATACATTTTTGGAAAATATATTGAAATCTATACTCTTTTGGTGCCTACTTTAATATTTGGATCTAATTAAAATAATGGTTCATTTTCTATTGATGCTTTAGATATAGATGATAAATTTATAATAAGGAAATGTCATACTATAATTCATTATCTTTAAGTCCCAAAATTAGATAACAATGTCTATTTTATATTCCAACAACCATAATAATCATATTTTAATTTATTATAATATCCTTTTATATATTGGATCAATTTTGTTTCAGGACCACTTGTAAAAGTGTTAACTCTAGTAAGCAATCCAAGCCTAGGTAATTTTAATGATTCTACCTTAAGAAAGCTTAATTAATCTTTATAATCAGATAAGAACTATTATATGGTCAAGGCTTTTTCTGTTAATTTATTCTAAGAATGCTAAAGTTTAAAGTTAAGATGCTTTTTTATTGTTGCAATAAATAATCAAAATCTAGATCTATATTATATAGCATAAAATTTACCAATTAGCTCAACAGAAATATCTAATTTTAATAGTAGTGTTACATAAATTGAAATAACTTTTGTTGTTTTAGATCAATAACTTTACTTTTTAGTGTGTTTAAGTTTTAGTTAAAATATTATTCAACTTTACTAATATAATAGACAATTATAATTAGTAAACAATACAACTCTTTAAACTAATTCATTTAGGTAATTTTAGCTACTATCTAATGCTATAGTTCTTTTATTAGATACAAATTAAATTGCTATAATGACATTTGATAACCAATTTTAAATATTAATTGATTCAAAAATATTAAATCAGATTTTGGGATAAAAAATAGACTTTGATCCAATAAGTATATATATAAACTAATAATACTAATCTAGAATTTTATACATAAACAATTAAAATAGTTTTATAATAGGCTAAATAACAGAAGAATTTAAATTTGTTTTAATATCATTGAAAATAGTTATTTTTCCAATTGAAAATTTATAAGTTGTAAATAATCTTTTAATTTTATCATATATCCATCAAGAGTCGAAAGATGTTCAATTTGAAGTATGGGATGTTAAAAAATTGAAAAAACCTTAATTTCTAAGATATATGAGATCTTTAATTTTTAAATTGAATAAAGATACAATATCCTATTACTCTGATAATTAGTTCTTTTATGTATAAATAGGGTTAATTGTGAATGTTTTTAATCCAACTTTATCTGAACATTCAAGTCTCTATTATCGAATAAATATTGATGGAATCTATTTCACAAGCACTTCAACAGATAGTATGACTCTTCTTTATTTTAATTCGAGTTTCTTTTAATTTTCATCTGTTTTACTATAAACATTTTCTAATTCAAGTATACATTCAGATTTCCTTTCAGAATAAATCTTTAATTTTACAATTTGTTCATAACTTTATGAGAAAAATAAAATTTATACTTAAAATAATTCAGTAACTATAATAAATAATTATCAATAAATTTAAATAAATAAAACTAAATTTGATGTAAATTAATCTTAATCCTATATTGAAATTTTTAGAAATAATATTTCAATTTAAGGTTAAGTTTTATAATTTACTATGAATAAAAAAAGTAAAAATAAGAATAATTATACATTGACTAATTATATTAATTATTTTAAGTAAACTAATAGTTCAATCATTTATGATTTAATTATTTAATATCATGATACTACATTTCTGCTTATGAATAATTCTACTATCCTAAATTACACAAATGGAAATAAATACTACTTTGGTCCATATAAAAAATGTATTTCCTCAACTGCTTATAACTTCTAAATTTATTCTTTATGTCAAGATAATCAATCAAAAAATTATATTATTAGTATGAATTTAACAAATAAAATTAATAACTCTTAGTTAGAATCTAAAGTAATTTTGACTTTAACAGATTTATCTTTTAGTTTTAATTCTTGGATTAGAATTAAAAATAATCAGCTGTATATTTGGAATAACACCATCTTTATGTATTCTATTAATTAAGATTAATAAAAGAATGGATCTTAAGATTTTGGTTAATTTATTTGTAAAAGTACTTAATTTGGATTCTAGAGTATTTAAATACAAGAGAATGATGGTACTTAAATAATAATTTATTTTTATTTTAAGCCAATTCATAAAGATCAATTATATTACAGATTTGCAAAAGTTGGGTAAAATTAAACATTTAATCGTTCAGATGAGAAATCATTTCTTTTTAAAACATATACATAACAATATCTGTCATTTAATACTATACCTATGGTTTATTAAAAGAAAAAAGAAATAATTATTATGGTCTCTAATTCTAATTTTATTTTAGCTATTTCATTTCTTATGGTAATCAATAAATCAAACTTCATAGATAGTCATTTAATTTTCTAAAGTTTTTTATAAACATCTCCACCATTTGATAAACATAATTTTAATGTCACATAATTACCACAATATGAATAAGGATTATTGTTATTTATGTATTCTTAATCAATCAATTTATCAAATTAAACATATATGATTACCTTTTACAATATTTCCAATAAATAAAATGTTAATTACTTAACTCCTCTCTTTTTCCAAGGTGGATATAATTTTACATTAAATAATACCTTTCTTAGTGCTTTTTCATTTATAGCTCGAAATAATTCATTTGGATAAATGTTACTCCTATTTACTAATGGTAGTATATTAGAACTTTAATTAAATATTTTTTCTATAAATATAACTTTATCTGCATAAAGAGAAAATTTAGACTATTATGAATTATATGCTTAAAATTATTTCAACTCCGCAGAGGCTGAAATTAATTTAGTATTTATAAAATAGCATATATTTAAAACAACTTCCTTTTATGTTTTGTTTGGAATTACTTTGATTGTACTTGTGATATCCTTACTACTATATAATGTGTATTCAAAAAGAAATTAAGATAGTCAAGATGATGAAGATAATTATGAATTATGAATATTATAAAATTTAATAATTTATTTAATCAATTAATATAATATCATATATATTAAAAATAAAGAAAGAAGGAAGTCTTATTCCTATCATCTCTTTAGACTAAAATTTAGGAACTGAGGGAATATCATAAAAATCTTTTTGCTAGATTGGAATAAGCATGTATACAGTATACTACATGACTTTAACATGTGTCCTTTAAAGGCTCACTTTGGTAGTCTGAAGTGACAGATACCTTTGAAGAAAAAAAATATCTTAATTCGATATTTATTTATCAAATCGTGCAGTTTAACCAAAGTTAAATTGAAGAATAGTGCTTAAGAGATAATAAAGGAAATTCTATTCATATCTAATTTTTGTTGGACTTTAGTTATAGAGTAATTCTAGTGATTAAATAACTTCACTTGCCAATTTAGTTATATATTTTACAAATCTAAAATGCTAGTATGAAGTCAAGCTTTTTGGTGATAGCTAAACTTTAGACTTCTTAAAATGGATTATGATAAGAGACTATAAGCTATGTGGCTTTATCACTAATCAACCTTTCTGTTTAGCTAGACTATAATGTGAAAAATCTTTAGTAAATTGTAAAAATTTCATTATATTTAGGCAGAGAATAATCATAATTTTCAAATAATTCATAATTTTATTAAATTAGGGAAATGAACATTTCTAATACCACTGAATTATTTATAATTAACATAATATCTTTTTATATAGGCTTTACTATAATATATATGAAATTGAAACATTTTTGTAACAAAGATTTTAGTATCCATAAGATAAGTATTTAGTAATATTTGATCAGATATGATTATCATTTTTATAAATTTATCTTACATTTCCTTTAATTTGACAGTGAATTGAGCATTACAAAAATTAAAAAATATTATCTTCTAAATTTCATCGGTTTTTATTTATCTAAATTGAAAACATGATAAAGATTCCATTAATTATTCGTCTTGGTTAATTAAGAAAATAACTTTTATAACATAATTTATGAGCATGCGTCATATACTAAATTTTGAAAATAAATATTAAACAATCATATAATATATTTGAAAAAATTGATTTTGATATTTTTACACTTTTTTATTAGAATTATAAATTTTCATATAAAGTCATTTGGAATACAATCCAAATCCTTACTAATCTTTCTGTATTATATATAACACAGATTATCTCTCTTAACATGAATATTATAAAACTAAATTTTGTTTATTTTTTGAACAAGAANAATATAATATCATATATATTAAAAATAAAGAAAGAAGGAAGTCTTATTCCTATCATCTCTTTAGACTAAAATTTAGGAACTGAGGGAATATCATAAAAATCTTTTTGCTAGATTGGAATAAGCATGTATACAGTATACTACATGACTTTAACATGTGTCCTTTAAAGGCTCACTTTGGTAGTCTGAAGTGACAGATACCTTTGAAGAAAAAAAATATCTTAATTCGATATTTATTTATCAAATCGTGCAGTTTAACCAAAGTTAAATTGAAGAATAGTGCTTAAGAGATAATAAAGGAAATTCTATTCATATCTAATTTTTGTTGGACTTTAGTTATAGAGTAATTCTAGTGATTAAATAACTTCACTTGCCAATTTAGTTATATATTTTACAAATCTAAAATGCTAGTATGAAGTCAAGCTTTTTGGTGATAGCTAAACTTTAGACTTCTTAAAATGGATTATGATAAGAGACTATAAGCTATGTGGCTTTATCACTAATCAACCTTTCTGTTTAGCTAGACTATAATGTGAAAAATCTTTAGTAAATTGTAAAAATTTCATTATATTTAGGCAGAGAATAATCATAATTTTCAAATAATTCATAATTTTATTAAATTAGGGAAATGAACATTTCTAATACCACTGAATTATTTATAATTAACATAATATCTTTTTATATAGGCTTTACTATAATATATATGAAATTGAAACATTTTTGTAACAAAGATTTTAGTATCCATAAGATAAGTATTTAGTAATATTTGATCAGATATGATTATCATTTTTATAAATTTATCTTACATTTCCTTTAATTTGACAGTGAATTGAGCATTACAAAAATTAAAAAATATTATCTTCTAAATTTCATCGGTTTTTATTTATCTAAATTGAAAACATGATAAAGATTCCATTAATTATTCGTCTTGGTTAATTAAGAAAATAACTTTTATAACATAATTTATGAGCATGCGTCATATACTAAATTTTGAAAATAAATATTAAACAATCATATAATATATTTGAAAAAATTGATTTTGATATTTTTACACTTTTTTATTAGAATTATAAATTTTCATATAAAGTCATTTGGAATACAATCCAAATCCTTACTAATCTTTCTGTATTATATATAACACAGATTATCTCTCTTAACATGAATATTATAAAACTAAATTTTGTTTATTTTTTGAACAAGAAGTCAATATTTTTCATTCTGCCTTAATAAAAATACTCGATTAGTGGGATTTACTTCAAAAAAACTCATTTTATTATATAAAATACCTGAAATAATTACATCTTCATTATTATCAAACATTAATTTTTGTGATTTTAATTAAACCCTAACTTAATAAGTATGGAATGGAAAAGCTTGAAACCCAGCATTATAAAAGAGGTACAAAACTGTAAATAAGTACAGTTACAGAATATGTCCTCCTATTCTAGAAAAAAGTGGAGCTAGGGTCTACAATTATGGATTATTACATCTCGATATCATTCCTCAAAACCTCATATCCCTTCCCACCATGTTTGAAGGGCTTTCAGGATTCCCTGACCCTAAAATAGCTAGGTTCTCCCTCCATTCAAGGCAGATATACACTCTACAAGGGTAAAATAATTTGGATAAAATTTATTTTTATAATTTAGAAATGAAGAGACTTGAATTTTTTGAAAATCTTATAAAATAAATTACAAAATTTATTTCTAAAGGAATGATAAAAATATCAGAGAGTACTCTAAGATTTTGTAAAATGATCAATTTCTTAATAAATCACAAACATTTATTTAAAAAGAATTATATTAAATTGTTTTTAACAGAATTATAATAAATTGTTGATATATTAGAAACAAAAAAAATTATGTTTCTTGTTGCTAAAATTGAAACTCAAATATCAAATTACTGTTTAGTAGTATTGTGTTTAGAGGTTAAGTTTGTCCAAAAAAATTACCATCATATTTAATAAGGGTTTTAAATGACTGTAATAATTTTCACAATGTTGGATTAAATAAGATAATTATTGAAATTAAATAGCATGTTTTCAATAAACTGTATGAATATAATCAATTATTTTAAAAATACCAATAAAAGATATCGTAGTATTAACACGATGAAATTACAATAATTATATTCAACATATAATCTAAAATATAAGGATTTAATTAATAGGCTATAATATTTTATAAGATATATTAGTAAAAGCAAAAGTAAAAGCCGAAGACTTAAAATCGATTTTTTATTTTTTATAATTTTAATTAAGCTTAAATTAATCTTAGTTAAAACAATATTAATTTTTAAAAGTCGAATTTTTAGTTTGTAAGAATATGTCATGGATATTATTTAATATAAAAATACTACCAAAGACCAAAAAATTTAATTTATCTTAATTTTTCGATGTTTTTTAAATAATTGATATTAAAAAAATGAAAATTCGACTTATAATGGGATTAATTAAGTGATGCTTGATTTTTTGAAAAATTGTGATTTAAATAGATTTTTTTATTCTTTTTTCTTCAACCATTTTTCAAATATATACATATTCCAAATATATTGACTTCAATACAAAATTTATTATTCTTTGTAGTTCTTTTTACTTTCTTTATTTTCTCTTTTTATTGATTTTTGATATAAAGTTATTTTTTATTATTTAGCTCCTAGTATATATTTTTTTTTATTATAAATATTTTATTTAATCAGATTTCAATAAGTATTAATTCAAATAATTTATTTACAGAAAAATACATACATAATATTTAAATTTCATAAAATATGAATTCACAAACTAGTTTGAATAAATTTGCTTATGAATTAATAGAAAACAGATCAGTTAGATCATATGATTTTTGTGGTTCCATTAACATTAATAAATTAAATACTTTGTTATTAGCATCAGCAAAGGCTCTAATAAAGGTTTATATATTTCAAATGGGATTTCTCAAATAATTAACATAATTAGGGGGACATAAGAGTTATGTAAAATGTCTTAGATTTTTAAATAAGTAGGATCACTTTTTATCAGGATCACTTGATCAATCTATAATAGTTTGGTCAAAATAATTATTGGCTTCTTCTAAATATATTTAAAAAATCAAAACTCACAGTAGTTCTGTAGTTGCTTTGGTTCTTCATCCAACTATTGAGAACGTATTTATATCTGCTTCTAGTGGATTAATTTAATTCTTTTAACACTCTAATCATAAATAATGGTTTAGTGTTGGCAAAATAACAGAAATTAATTAACTTTTTGGAATGACAATCAACCAAAATGGAACTATAATAGTAACATGTGGTGAGGATAATCTAATAAATATATTTGAATATTAAAAATAATAATAACGGCAAAACAATAATTAAACTTGGTTAATAAAACAAAAAATTAATGTAAAATAGTGGGGCTTTAGGGTCTGTTTTTTAGATAATGAAATATTTGTTTTTTAACCTGTTTCATAGAATTATAATGGAACAACACGTATGAATATATATACATTAAATTAATAAAATTAATTCATAAAAGATAAAACAATTCCTATTAAAGGGGGAGGTCAACTATGCATGGAGAATTTTCCTCCTATATATAATTAATCTAAATTTATTCTTCTTATGAAAAATGGTAATTATATCAATTTGTTTAAATATACTGAAGGATAATTTAGATTAAGATTTAAATAGGCTATTTCCTTTGGTATCTCTGATTTATTTGGTACTTTGAGCGATGATGGAGAATATTTAATTACTTGGGATAAATTATCAAGATAGATTTAGATAAGAATATACACTGATTTAAAAATAAATAAATAAGAGAATGATAGTGAATGATCGATCATCTTGGCTTTATAACAACATTAACTTAAAATATATAATTCAACTTTAATTTTTTTATATTCATTTAATCTTAACATAAATAGACTTCTTTACATTGATTCAAATTATTTGTTAAATTCTTTCCCAATAAATCAATTCGAATGAATAATGGAAGTTGCAGCAATTTCCTAAAATTTTTGATACTTTTTGTGATATTTATTCTTATAAAAAGTTTAACATAAGGTAGACTAAATGAAATAAAGTATCAGAATTTAATTTAAAATAAAGAAATACAATAGGCAAAAGATTAAATTAATAATATGATAGTCAAATAAGAAAGAATGAAAATAGTATTTAATGATTCCACAAATTTATAAAAAAAACAATAATCAAGAACTATTAAATATTCAAAAGAAAGTAATTTTCATAGTTTATTAAATTCTTTTATTATGGTTATTTTTTTAAAGTCAATAAAAGTTAAATTAAAAAATAAAGTAAATCAGAATAAATCAATTTAATTCATATTTATAAAATATACTAATTAAATGTATAAAAAAGATTTTGCATTCTTTTAAATTTGAATAATATATATAATATTGTATCATATTATTAATCTATATTTACAAAATAGTGTTATATATTGTAAAAAATAATATGGAGTAATATTTGTTTCAACGAATAATCCATTTTTAAAAATATAATATTTTAATTTATATTTTAATATTTTTGAATATTTATTACGATTATTAATCCAAATATCAAATACTTAAATTGGTAATGTACAAATTAATATTATGAAATTTTTTATTAAATACTTATTTCATAATATATAAATGACTTTTATGTATTATA